GTTTACGGGAATAGCGGTTTGGTGCATAAAACCGTCATGATCCATCGTTGGAACGATTTGATCAGAAGAATCTGAAGAAAAAAAATCATCGTATCAATCATGTCGTTACGAAAATGATAGCTATGTAAATTTTGACCGCGAAAAGATAATAGAATAACCGAGCGTTGTTTTGTTTCTCGAAGACGGTTTATTTAACGACACCCTCTTTAGAAGCAATCATCTCGGCTGTCCACAATATAATAACAGCAATCTTCAATTCCAACGTGACAGGGGAAATCTTGTATAAGAAGGATCTTTGAAACATTGGTAGGCTGTCGTGGTGCGCGGACAGATCACGTTTAAGTATTCAACAGTTTTCACTTTTTCTTTTTTTTTTTTTTTCTCCTTTTTATTAACGTTCGATCGTGGTGAAACGGTAGAAAATACTGGCTAGGGACTGGCGAAGAATTCTGACGATCGGTGTCTGGAAGTACGAAGCCGATCCAAGGTAGTCCACCTTGAACGGAATTCTCGGTCGTTCGTAAATTTCACTAACAAAGAGCCCGCGACTACGCGTAGAATAATGACCGGACGTTGCATGTCTTTTCCTTCGTTAACGATGCTGCTCGGACAATACCGATGCCATTTTGCACGGGTAAACAGCATAAACTCGAAACGTTCCATCGTTCTTACGTTCTTTGATGTTCGATCAAAGGGAATATTAAATTCGCAGCTGCTGTTACGTGTTGGAACATGTTCCACGATAGACAGTAACCGTTTTTGGACGCTTTCGTAACCAGTCGAACACGTACGTCTTACTTAAGCTGGATAACATCACGAGTTTACTTATTCTACTGATTTTTTCTTTTGCTATTTTACTTAAGGGTATATGGATTGCTTTCGGTGTCGTTGTATGCAGATAATTAAGACGTAGAACAATAGTGCACGTTGTAATTAATATTTCATTAGCCGGCTAGGAGGAATAAAAAAGTATAGCGAGCTGTTATTAACCGTAGCACGTATGAGAAGTCGTTAGCATAGCGCATCATTCCGATGCAACTAGTCAGCTCGATTGGCGATTAAATTTACTTTTTAGCCATTTTAACTGTTCTCTTATTAACATTCATTTATTAGTCAACACCATTTAGCTAGTATTCGTTTCTTCTTTTCATATTGTTTTTTGAGCAGTGTTCGTATTTGGCGCGAGTTTCGTTTAGTTCGCCGCGCATGCGCGGTTTCCCAGAACCGCTCACGTACGAATTGTATATAAACCAGCACCGAGCATCGTTAACGACAGTATGGAATTAAACGTCCAGGGGTTCGTTATGCGAATTTTAATCTTTCCAAAGATAAAAATCATTTATTATGCCGGTGATAAATAAAATTTAGATTTAATTATAAAATTCCCTTTATTCGAATCGTTAGAACATGGAATTCGCGCAAAAAGCTATCGAAGCATTCTGGCAAACCCCAGACGGAATCAGGTAGCCGGGATTCCTCGGCGTTAATCGTTGCACCCGTAAATGGCTCGGTTGCCAGGAACAGGAGGTAATGGTCTGTGCTCGCGGAAAACGCGATCGCTAAAAGCGGATTCATGCGAACTTGCCGTGAAGCTGATTAAACGCAAACATGCCCGACGGAATAACACCTTGCGCGTTTTATTGTGTTCGAGGCATTTACGTAATCGTTGCTGCGATTGCCGTCGCACTTTCTGCAATTTCTCCTCCCTTTTTTCTTACACGAAGCGAACCGAAGATGCGTGTGTTGTACTACCGTTACGCTTCTCAAACCTGGTCGCAGACGAAAGCGACAGTTAACGACTAGTCTCATGATGCGTGATTTAATAATTTTTGTAAATCATTTTTTTCTTTTTTTTTTTTTTATCGAATATCATTAATACGTTGCTTTTGATGATCTGTTCCTATTGCTAGAGGTCAAAGGTTACCCGATATCAAGGTTCCGGATTTTCCACTGCCACTGTCGATAACTAAGTACGTGGCTGCGCATTCATTGATTTTTTTTTTTTTTTCGTTTGTAGCTCTCTTTAGAGTTCATTCACCTTCGACTGGTTGCAGCCGCAGCTGCCGCTAGATTCTTCTCTGTGCTCTCTGTTTATCGCCCACTTGTCAATGGGCTCGGTAACGAGACGCACAAAACACGCGCGATTTATGTTTCTATCGCGGACGCGAATTTTTCTCGCTGACCGGTTCGAAAGGTCGCGAGCACCGTTTCCTGTCTCTTCCGATGCGCTGCAGAATATCGTTGATACTTGTGTAATAGACTCTCGATAATTTATAATAATTAGTTTATAAATTGACCGCGTCAAATTCGAGAGAGATAAAAAATATATTGCTGAGACCCAGTGTATTGGTTGTTGACGAAATTCGAGTAGTCAACACCGGATTCCTGGACAATTGACACCGCTTTCCAAGGATTTCGGTATCCATTGCACGACAATCTGTAGAATCTGCAGGGTATAACATCGTAAGGAACACCTGGCTGGAAGGTTGTGATCTCTTCGCTTCGAATAATGATTCATCAACGAGTTATTGCAGGAAAGATCTTCGGTTTTAGCACCATTCGCAATATATTCCTTATCTCTTAGAGATTTGGTCATTTTTAAATCAGTTGTACGTCATTGGTTTTTTTTTTTCTTCATAAATCATCGAAGGTCCGGCGATAATTTCGTGACAACGATTAAAGTGCATCGTCAATCGTCGAGCAAACGATCATCGATTCTGTCGCTTGTTGCGTGGAAAGAGCAAAGGGTTGAACATGGGGGATAGAAAAGAGGGAAACACGGCAGACGATGTTGCGCGGCTGAGTGGATTAGTGATCGAGTTAGCGATCAGACGAGCTCTTCTTTGTCTACGTTTAACGGCTGTTAAACCATTTCTGACCGGTGACCGTCTGCTGAATAGGAAAAAAAAAAAAAGTGCAAAATAGTTGGTTTACGCCTTCGCAAATGCACGCTTTTATGAACACAGAAATGCTCGGTGTGTATCTGAAATCTCGGCAGCTGATTCTTGAGGGTGAAACGCATGGTAGAAAATCCTCAAGGTCTTCCTTTGTATTTGTACGGGCGGATCAATGCCCTGTATACTTTTAGTTTGATCTTGAATTTTTTAGTAATAGTTCGTTGAAAAAGAAAAATTTCTAGTGTAATTTAATTGCTGTTAAAGTCAGGTTAATTATCAAAATTATCAAGATTCAATGAGATGATAAAAAACAAGTTAAAGTGTGCTTTGTAAAACAACCCCCAAAAACATATCAGAAGAAGATCTAGTCTTTCGTGTCACGTATCGCAATAAACAAGTCCACGCGAATCGTATTTTCCCCTCGAGCGTCCTTTCTTATCTACATTTCGTAAGCTTATCCACGACCCCTCGTTTTCTCGATTCATCCCGAATCACGATAAGAAACAAACGAGCGAATGATAAGGGACAAAGGTAGTAGGGACGCGCATGCGCGAAAGGCAAACTGTATATATGTATGTACAGCGAAGAGCGGTAAACAGAGGGCGGAAATGTGTTATGGTGCCATGGAATACATCTCTTTCCCTTCTCTTCGTTTTTCCATGTTTCCCCGCTTTCCTCGATCGACCGACTCGCATTTTCGTCCGGTAGGTTAGGTTAGGGTCGCCACGGTTTGTCGGGCGCGGTTGGGTAGTGAGGTGGTGGGGGGGAGAAGCGGGCTCCCACCGTTCCATTCGCTTCGCACTTCAGTTGCCTCGCGTACGTCGAACCGTAAACATCTATTCCGTCTCGTTCCTTCCGTTCGCGGAACACGTTGCGTGTTATCTCCCGTTCGAAATCACGTTCCCTTATTCCGAATCGTCGAGTGTATCGCAATTTTAACCCTTCCTTACCGACCGTTTCTCTGCGAAACAGTGACGAATTCGCGAGTGACGGCGAGGAATTTTTCGGATATGGTGTAAAGATGTTGTTGTGAGCGGCGAGGGCGAGTGGTGCGGTGTTTAAAATTCGACGAATGATCGAGTCTCATGACTCGTGGAAGAACTTTACGATCGTTGCTCTGTGGCATGTGTTGACTTGATGGTTTTCGAAGGCGTCGAGATGCGGAACCCAGGGTTCCTGCTCGAAGACGCCAGACACGGATACATCCAGTATATCAGGTAAGATTTTCGCAGTTTTTTTTTTTTACCGCTCTTCGATCGACCAGGGAATCATGGGAACGGAAAAGTGACTTTGTAAACGCGTCGGTGCATCCTGCAACGATGTGAATAGGATAATGTGTCATAAAGCGGACATCCAGTGTGTATTGTTCTCGGTAATAATCGATATTCCATTTGGTATCGATATTCGTCGATTTCACGATTCGTTCAAACGGAATTTTCGAACGAAGCGAATATTTCCGAATGTCCCTAGGCGATCACGTGGTAACTTCTTAGGTTTTAAAAATAATTTCAACGATATTAAAGATTACTGATATTATTAGTTCTTTATAATTCGTCTGTAATCAATGATTCACCTGTTCGTGTTTTCCTCGGCACGACGACGCGTACACGGTAAATAAACAAAAAGTTAGGTTAGGTTAGCTCGCGCGACAGATTAAATAAAACATTGCATTTTGAACGTGATATAGTTGAAAGAAAATGTACGTGTAACGACCGATACATTGCAGATTTATTTTTTGCAAAGAATAATTGTGTTTCCGTGAAACCGGTTTATCTTTGACGATGATTGCGGTAATACGGGGAAGACGATCATTGCGCGCGGAACAGCCGAGTGTACAGTTTGAAATCCACGTCTCGGTTCGTTTTTCTCTTGGTAGACTGGGGTTTTATTTTTGGAAATGGCATGAAAATTGCAGATGTCGGTTCGAGCGATCCTCTTACGAGCTCCTGCACAGCTTCTCGTTTCCATGACGGTTTTAAGAAACAGTTCACGTTTAGCTGTACCTTTCAGGTCTATTTCTTTTAGAGCTATTTTCAAGTTGAAACAAACAAACGAGGAATAATGTAATCGCTTATTTTCAAAAATATTTTATTCTTTCTTTTTGGAAATCAGAAATACAGAATGATAATAAGCAGTTTTATCATAACAAGATGAATCATTATAACAAATTTTCCATTTTTTAAAAATTATTATTAATCTGTACGATGTTAATTAATAGATTGATTGGCTTATACAAAGTTATCGGTGTGATTCTCGTACAGCCAGCGAAGAAACAGACGTGGAATAGTTTAATATACACGGTGTGTCGTGTTTTAATGGTGGTGTTTACCAGCAAGGTGGTTACTTTTCTCGTCAGCTGACTTGAAGCAGCAGCTGCACGCCTTTGTAGCTTCGCTGACTGAAAGGGGAGCCTCGAAAGCAATTATTTTTCAAAGAAGAGAGCTGTCGAGGTGGCTAGCTTTTTGTGCAAGCTTTCAATTTCTCACGGTAGCTGCTCTCAATCTTTTTTTTTCCATTGAGGAATCGTAACTCGCGTTAGTTTGATAATCGAATAATTGATTTATTTTTCATTCTTTAAAAATTGTATTTCAATGTTAATCTTTAGATATTTAATTTTAAATACAGGTCACTTTTTTTTTGAAAAAAAAAAAAAAACATTGCAATCTTCAAATGTCTCGGAATGTTGAAAAAATAGGTTTCATTTTTCATAGACAGTAGAAATCTGGCCGGATTGGTTAATCGTTCGAAATACTTGCACAATAACGTTCCTTACTCACTACTGTTTATTATTACCTTCGAAAGTTAATGCCTTGTTAAACTCTCGAGCGGGGCTGTATTCACTTACAAGTTTCACTGGTTTCAACATCGTCCCAACGCAAAGTCGATCATCGTTACTGGCCGATTGTACAGCAATGCGGTTACCTGTTGCCTGGATACTGAAATCACAACACGAAATACTCCGGACGATTGGCTAATCAATTGCTCCAAACATCGAGTTACCCGTATTTCTCGATCATTTATAGAAAAGAATCTGAAAATGATATCGTTCAACTTGAATTTTATCGAAAGTTGAAACGCGGAAGGAATAAATGATAATTCCATAATAACCATTAGTCATTTTGAAAACGGTTGTTCGTTTATTAGCAGACACGAAAAGAATTTCATTAGAGAGGATGTTAATAAATGATCAGACGTTCTCATTTTAAATCATAAATTAAAAAAAAAAAAAAAAATGTACAATTACGTTTCGTTACGGTGCGATTGCGATTTTTCGCGTAATAGATTGTGTAACAAGGAATTTCCCGTTAGTAACGATACCAACCAAATTGATAAACATAATCTAGAATGGTTGAAAAGAAATGGAAATAATACATAGATTATAAGAACGTGGTTCGTTGCTTCCTGGTTAGACAGACTGGCGCCACACTGGGTCGATATTGTCATCAGTCTGGAATTCATTTTGGCTGTCATTATATTTCCCCTCCGCTTGCGAACCGGGCATAATTATACACGCAACGTACCACGAAAGGAAGTACCGGTCAATCTACATGAAAAAAATGATGGCATAAATTATTTCTTTATTAATAGCATTGCTTAGAAAAAAGATACTATCGAAAGTGTGCTGTGTCTAGCTTTCCTCCTGATATATAAAACTGATATAAAGTATAATTAAAACAATTACGTTCGATTAACTTGAAAATCGTCGAAAGCGTAATTACTGTAATTTTTACAATTGCCCCTCTGATTGTTTCATTTGCACGAAACTATCTATAAATAGAAATGATTTTACGATTAAGACATGTATTTTGAAGCACCTTGTAGAGAAGAGGATGCACCGGCCTCCAAGCTCGAAAGAAGCTGGAGCTGGTCTCGCGATTTAAAATTGGGAGCCGGCGAGCAGGTAGAAAGAAGCCGGGTTCTTCTTTCCCGAACATCTGTCGGGTGTTAGTTTCGTGAAACGGGGAACCGGTTCGGCCTTCAGCTGGTTTCCATGAGACGCGAAAGTCTTAGCGAACAACACCGAGAGGGTAGTAGAATCCGACGCGGCGCTTCTTTGTCGGTTGGATGCATCCGGTGCAGGATTTTTCCTCGTGTTTTTCCCCTATACAGTAGAATCGAAATGGCTATGGTGGCACACGGTGGCACACGATCGTCCCCGTCAGCCTTGCGCCGCGTTCACCGTTTCCGCTCTAGTTGGCCGGCTTCCAGACACTCGCCGATGCCTTCTTTCTTCTTCCACCGGGACTGTTCATTTTCGCTAGGTAAACGTCGCTTTTCCTGTTCATCGCTCGCGTTACGTCATCGACGCGGTGAAAGCGATCGTAGCGAGACAGCTAGGCTGATGGAAACGAAGTCGACGTACCGGCTTTAAGATTATCATCGATATTTCGCGTCAGATATTACGGTAAATTCTATTATCGTCTTTGGAGGCTATTCTAACGGTCGCTTTTAATAACGAAAGGGTTAATGATAAAAAGAAAAATCAATGAACTTGTCACGTGGCAGTAAGCGAGCGTAACGTCAGCCTCGGTAATGCTCGAACATCGTGTACCGGTAGGTGACACACTTTGCCGGGCTTACGCGAATCGCATTCTGTTCGAAAGGTTCTCCGATGACAATTGCAGATGCGATCTCGAATGAACGTTCACCGACGACGCGTCGCGTCGAGACGCTTTCAGTGAACCGAATCGACTGGCTGCTTGTTGCGTCGGCTGACATCATCTCCGTTCGATTCTATTTCTATCTATTGTCATTAGCGATAGGAATAGTGAAATGTTACAGTTTACATTAGCCAGAGATACGTCAGATACGGAACTGTCGAAAATAATATTTCTAAATTAGTAGAGACCAGAATTAAGGGTGATAGTTTAATTATTAGGAGAAATATCGTTGCGAGGAAATTGCTTCTACAACGAATTCCTTCGGTCGGAAAACGCGACAACGAGAGACACCACGATCCTCTCGGGGCTAATAATACAGCTTGCTGCGTTGAAAACGCGCCCACGCGTCGCACTCTCACAGTTCTAGAATCACGAGATGATTTTAGTATCTTATCGGACCTCGTACCAATCGCGCGTTACTTCTTAATTTCGTCCTCGAAATTTCCTTCTATACTTTCTGCCGTAATTTTCTATTTAAAATACTGCTTCGGAAGTTGATGATCTTTCGTTCGACCACTCTTTGCCATTTGTAGTGGTTTCTCTTTGGCGCAGAGTGTGTACCGTCGTGAGCAGTGTTTCAGAAATTCATTGTTACCGTCGTCGGAGGGTTGTTTGAAGGGTGCATCATTACGGAGGAGTCTGAAAAAGACAGCCCTGCGACTAAGAGGGCAGGGGTACCAACCATTTGCGTAAACGGTTACGTTGATAGGTAGATATTTCGATAAGAATATCATTTTTCAATATCGTTTGCGTAACCAGAAAACGTCGAACGGGCTGCGGTGCTGTTAACGAGTATAAAAGTTCAGGGTCAAAAGTAGAGGACGTAGAAAAACGAGCAGAGAAATCATATCTCGTTCTAGTTTGGTAAGAAGGCCAGGTAGTTTATAGTTAATTGTCCTTCGTCACGGCTGCTGACCTCTTATCGTGTGAAAGTGTTCGTCACAGCTGTTGATAACGAAGATTACGAACGAGCCTGCTGCCAAAGATAGATTTTCAGGTTTCTCTTTTCTCCGGTTACACGGGTGTAATCGCTACCCTCGCGAAAGAGAAACTTCCTATTGTGTCGCGGCTAACCGGAAGCTTTTCGCACATGCCATGCCTCGATGTTTACTGCAATAAGATAGCTGATACGGTATCGACGCGTCTTCGCACCTCGGCCAAGCGGAACGTTAGAAATACTTTCAGTCTGGGCACAGTCAAGTTTTCTTCGAGTGCCATTTTCCCTAGGGTACTGTACACCCTCGGGCATGGTGGAATTTCTTTACCTCCCACTCCTGTTCCTCGCGTGATTCGTTCGTGCGATCTCGGCCGAGTTCGGCTCAGTTCGGTGGTTAGGCCACGCCTCCTACCCTCAGGCGATTGGTGGGAGGGTCCCAAGTGAAATCTTGATTCTATATTGGGTACTTTAAATTAGGTAGTTAATTAAATTTTGTTTGATAATAGATGCTTTATTGTATTGAGAGGTTCTTTTTCTTTGTTTGTTGCAGCCTAAGCGAATGTTACTTCGCAGGCAAGGGTGCGGCCCTGGTTTTACCCCCGAACGAAAGGGCCAGGCCTTCGAGAAGGGTCTCCTCGGCAGGATGCGACATTCAACAACACTTGCAGTCCATGTTTTACCTGCTCAGACCAGAGGAAACCCTGAAAATGGTAAGTCAGGAATTTTTTCGATTTATAATGGCAACGCTTCATGGTACAGTGTACTATACTGTATATGACAAAAAAGCGTTTTCGATCATACTAGTACGCAATTACATCAAAGTTTAGGATATAGTTTTACATCAGTGACCTGCTTTGTTATTTTAAAAAGAAAAAGTTTGTAATTTATTATCGTTTGTGTATCGGTTAATCGTGCGCAATCGATCGATGCACGTCCATGACATTTTCCATCGAGTAAAGTTCAAAGGAAGAATCTATTTTATATCCGAATCAATACTTGAAGACCGAGAATTATTTGCTAATTTCGAATTCTGAAAATTGGCAGCTGCGTTTCCATCGAACGCCACGTGCTTCGCGTATATCTTCATCATTGACGTTAACTTCTCAATTTAGATGCACTGTACACGAAACCAGTTTCCAGTGCAGAGCGGTTGATGGAATTGAAAATTAACCATTTCTTCAAATAACTGGGGCAAATCCGTTTAAAAATAAAAAATTGATCTCATATTATTTTGGCTTTTATCGAACACGAAATTTCACTTTACAGTCAGTTTAAGCGTTCAGATTAGAATATACTTGTTCGGCTTCCATAATAAACGATTCAACTGCGAATTTATAATGAAAATTTCGCGTCGCGCAGGGGGAGATTGGCAGCGTTGTCCTGTCTAAAATTACAGTACTTTTATTATGTGGTTCACGTCGCCAACGCAGAAAGTCCGAAACCTGTGTAAACAACCGACAGGTATTCGCTACGTGACGTCAAGTGATCCTAACGAGAGCAAACTGTGACGAGCAGTGATTGCGAAATCTTTCCAACGTGGCTTTCTACGCGAGTCATGAAAAGTGCTTATCTCGAATAATTTGAGGACAATAATTCACCTCCAGGACAGTTTTTTAATATAAAAAATGGAAAAAATATTAAACTGTACTACTATGAGTAACTTCAACTTTTCGACCTTAAAAAGCTAAGCAAAAGGTGGGACAGTTTTAAACCCACTTAACCCTAAAGAGTTAATCAAATTTCACATAACAGATATACCTTTCGAAGGTGTAATTACAGTAGGCCAAAGTGATCTAAGAAAACTGAACGCACGTTTAGACCATTTGAAAAACTGAAACGCGTCTTGACCCCCGATGAACGTGTTAATAGAATTTCAAGTAAGTACACGGTAGAAAGTGCGACTGCATCGGACTAAAATGACCCGATAAAAGGAACTGGTACGCGTAGACTTTTCGAAACATCAAACGCGTCTTGAGTCGTCTAGCGGAAGCGTTCGTTTCTCATCGACCGCGACCTCAATGCGTCGCGTTCGTCAGCGACCCGCGCATGTGGGTCGCCTTTAGCCCACTTTGCGATAGTTCCAGCGACACCGGTGCCTCGGGGCCGATCCCCCACGTGGAAAATTCCAGGTCGCCGTGCGCGTGTCGCGTGCCCGATGCGGCACACTGTGACGTTCGTTTCTCGTATCGCTCGAGGTTCCCATCTCGTATGAAATTATCAAACGTTTGGCCGTTTAAAATACAGAACCGACGCGAGGCGACGGATGAAATAAGTTCGGTAGAAGGATCCATTTTGCGCGGAGCGCGACTGTGGCGCCCTCTAAGCTGGCCGGTATATGGCGGGACCAATAATTGCAGAGTAGACGGCGCTCGCCTCGAGCGAAATATATTATAATTCTGGACAGGACACGCGTTAAAGATGTCGAGATTCCTCGCGCAAAGCCGGTCGACGAGAAACTGGTCCCTACAAGGACAACGAGGTAAGGGGGACGTACGATTCGCCACAGGTCGTTTCGTCGACTGCTTTTCAGCAGGGCCCCGTTACTTTTTACGCTCGCGCTTAAAACGCACTCATGCAACTTGCCCTCGAGGCCGTACCTTTTATGCGGAAAGTGTCAGTGACCCGGGCGACCGGTAACCCGTTCGCTCGTTGCCCACTTCCGGTGCTTTGTGCACCGATACGGCCTTTCGTCGATTCGCGTCTATCGGGATTTTCTTTTTTTTTTATTTTCTTTCTGCGACGTCTTCGCGCGCGACTTGGGATGAGATGTGGGTTTACAGTTTTCTATAGGGTGTCCGATAAATCGGTTCGCGGAATTTTATTTCCATCATTCTTTCAATTTTCTTTGATTTGATTACGATATCCCGGTGATACGAAGGCGAGATACGGTAGCGGAGAACAAGTTTGTCCGAGACTGAAATCATGCCTCCGCAACTATAGATCTCTCCCGTTCGCTGGACGGAACTATCGCGATAAATTATGTTCGCCCACGCTAGCGTCGCTTTTCCGGGGTTTCGTAAGGTCATCGTTACCGATAACGATTTCCACCGCGTGGATGTCAACGATCATCCCGAAACAGACGTTCGATTCCCTCGAATCCTGGAAACTCCTTCGACTTCCTTACGAATCGTAGAAATATGTGGCGGAACTGGCGTGGAATGTCGTGGGCAGAAAAATGAAATTCTTTCGTGACTCATAAAACCTAGTCCGAAACACGTTGACCGACGATTCGGTTAATTCGTTCGAATTGATACCTCGATCTCGAATTTATTTTTACTCGCCAGACGAGCCTTCATAGAAGTTCGAACCCACTCGAAATCCACGAAGAGCTGGCAATAAGTCTAATTTCAATATTCGAACGGTCTACGAGCGAAACTGGGCTATCTCGGCACTCGAGCTGCTAAAACAAGTCTTACGACCGGCTTCTCCCTTTTTGCTTCTTCTTCGATTCTTCGCACCGTCTCCCGACTGGGTTTCAAGCTATTGCCTCCTGGAAATTAGCCTTTTCGAAATCATTAATGTTATCGTTACGATAACTTTGACAAAAACGAACCGAGCTTTTCATATTTTATCGCATCGAATCGAGTTGTTTCTGTAAACACGTTCGCGTCTCAACAGAATACCTATTTATATCATCGTCGAAGAAAAATCTGACAGGAGGAGTAATTACAGAGTTCAATTGGTCGTCGTTTAAATATTTATCTAGTATCATTTGATTAATACATCCTGTCGCCTTTTCGCTTCCTGTAATTAAATTAATTTCCAGTTTTCCGTCGAGGTTGTTCGAAGTATCCATAATAATTTATACTTAGGTTTTAGCTACGATAAAGTCGACTTCCCCTGGAAGGGGAAGCTGTTCTTAACTCTGCAATTAAAGTTCATTACTTCCTTGCATTGGTAATTTACAGCCTCTCCGATGTTCGGAGCACAGAATAATTTCGATTCGGCTACCAAAATTTTCCGTAATCAGCGATACTTTTCCCAGCAGTCGGGCTTCGGGATGAAATTCTAAACGGAGGAAAATCATAGGTAGTCGAGATGGTACCAACGACGCGTCGATACCTGGGACCAAAACGTTTCATCGACTGTGGCGATTGTCTCCGGTGTGTGCCCCATTGTGGTTTAGTCACGACACACTTTCGTCAC